ATATATATATATATATATATGTTGTGTATGATTGATTTAAGAAACTAATTAATTTTCTAGCTAGCTACCTCATTTTCGTTAATTCTTCGGTCTCCTGGTCGTTGCAGCCTTCATTGCAGCCGGAGAAGGCTATCATGTCCATTTCGTACCTAAGATGAAGAACCAGAAAAGGACCCTTTCCCCTAAGAATTCTAACAATCTTCTCCGCCAACTCCTGTATGGGAGGAGCGAACCTCAGGGCTTGGTAGTTTACTCTGCACCGCAACTTCTGCACCTCTATGGGGAGCCCATTGTTTGCAAGTCTAGCATCCGTCTTTTGGAAATGCACCACTTCGTGGGTCTGAATGCGAGGAAGAATCTGCATGCGCGCATGTGCAAGATTGTGAGAATTTTTGTTGCAAAATGAAAAAAAAAAAAAAAATTGTTATCATTGATGAGGCGCCAGCAATGTTTGTATTCCTTAAGTATAACCTACGTACCACATTGTAGTAATATGTCATGTTAGACCAGCTAATTGGTGGCATTGAAAAAGGCGATTCCGATGCCTTTTTCTTTTGTTGAGGAGGCAACTCTTTCAGTATGTGAACTTGGTCCCTTAATGATGCAATGAAATATTCTACGTCAAATATATCTGCAAACTGGCTGCAGCCATATATAGTCAATATATATATATATATAATGGGATCAAATTAGTTATTAGAATTACATAAATATATATATATAGACAATTAATCTCAATAAATATACACACACATGCATGCACTAACGTACCTATGATCATTCCAAAATGAAGTATTATCTAGCTCAGGAACTATGAGGGTCACATTTAAAAATCTTGCTACCGTAACCATGTCACATATCTGTAGAATATGGAGCTAATTAATTAGGATAATATACAGAAACTAATAATTAAAGAAAGCAGTAATTGTATCTCCAGGGCAAATTAAGATCAAATTAATTAATTAATTGCTAACTTACACCCGTTCGCATCTGGTTCAATCCTCCATTTGATGAAACCATCAAATATCCATTGTTATGGTAGATCCCTGTATACATCAATTTTTTGCCCTTAATGACGAGGTTACAGAACACAAAATGAATTTTAGAATAATTAATTAAGGTAACACACACATATATATATGGTACTTACTCTCCGGTAGAAGAGGATAAGAGAGGCGACTATGTTTTGGCACCTTGGGACTCCCAAGCGCCTTCAACTGTAATGCGATAGCCCAAACCAACATCATAATAAGCACCCGAACTGCCCACATTTTGAGTCGAGCTACTCGGATACGTGCCACAACTATGCTTCTCAACTTTTCACCCTTGATCATTCTTATATGCTTCAATTTCATCTTACTACGACTATATGGTTTCTCCTTCACCTCTCCATATTCACTCTCTTCAAAACTCATCTTGAGATATCAATTTTATTAATTTCCTACCTCTCTTTCTATAGATACTTGGTACAACTTTTAACTCAGATACAGAAAAAAAAAAGTATAATATTTGATAGAAATGAAATTCAAAGGCTTCAAAAACTAAGAAGAAGGACTTGGCTTAGAAATTATGCTGGAGATGGAGCAGCCAGTTCAAGGGTACGTATGTAATGGGAACAATTGGGGGCTTTTAAAGAAGGGAAAATGATTCTAATTAATATATATCTGCTGTTAATTTACTGCACCAATTTGGCGTCATACATCACCAAATAGCTGTATTTGATATTCTAAAACACGAGGAATTAGTTTTACATATAATTGATGAAGAAAGGGCAGGATCCATTAATTCTTTATTCACATTTATTAATCATATCTTTTTCTACCTTTATTCATACAATTAATTACGAGTATTTGCTAATATCTCATGGAATTAATTGCATTGTTCATTTAAGGGCAGGCCAAGCCAAACTGTCTTTCAAATTTCAATCACTATTTAGAATAGAAACTTAGGAAATTTACATGAAAGGATTAGATAAACTTTAATATATAATCTAATTATCTATTTAAATTAATTTGATATTTAATAAATTAAAAAATAGTGAAAAATTAAGACATCTTGATAATTAAAATATTAGAACTCCTTATAAAGTTATTTAAACTCTCTTAATATTAATTAATATATAAAAAAATTATTAAAAATATTTAAATAATTTTATATAAAATTCTAATGTTTAAAATGCATGATAAAACATCTTAACTTTTATTTTTTTTTCGTAAATTAATTAAAGATTGACTTGGTACTTAATTAGCACCTAGCTGGCAGACGATGATGCGAAGTATGACCACCAATTAGACTCAAGGCATCAAGGCATCCTATTTGCCCAATTACACAGGATTATTATATTATTAAGGAATTTTTTAACTTGTATTTTATTGTATTTTTTATTATTAATTTATAAATATAAAAGATAAAAATTAAATTAAATTTTATTAATTATTTAATTAAATCATTTTATATAACAATGATATTAAAAATAAAATATATTTGTATAATTTTTTATAAATTAATAATAAAAAATATAATAAATTTGTACTTAACTTTTTTTTTTTCAAGTACAAAAAAATTGTATTATTAATGTTGCCACTAATAATAATGGCGTACCCTACCCACCATCCCTGACTTGTTAATGGTAGGGATGCAATCACTAATTAATAGTAAAAAAGTAATGAAAACACCCTAATTAAAAATAGCGACATTAACCACCAGAGATGGAGAGCGAACGTTATCCGTTAATAATTCAATGTGCGCAGAAAAAATAATAATAATAAAAATTTTATGTGTGAAAGTAATATTACATCAAAAGTAAGGAATGAATATAAAAAATAAATATTAAAAAATTATTTTTATTCAATGAAAATAATGTTCGGACACTAACTTATTTTTAATATTTATTTTTATTCCTTAACATGCCACTTTTATATGGTTATCATGTTATTTTATTTTAATTCGATTTTAATTTTTGTAGCATAAAAAATTTTAACCTTGAACCCAAGACCCATGACACAAGCATTTGGAAAACCAAAATGCTTAGCCAATGGGCCCATGGTAGGGATGGCAACAGGTCCTAACAGGGGCGGAGACCCTGTTTCCATTCCCATCCTTGTTAATGGCGGGTACGGGGATCTTCGCGGAGAATTTTGGTGGAGGGTCAAAAATTGCCTCCGTTCCCATCCCCACGGGGAATAATAGATCCCCACAGGTATTCGGAGTCCCCGTCAAATAAAACTATCACCTATTTCACTGCTTGTTAATCAAAATTCCAAAAGAAAATAGCAATTTTACAAAATCCTAGATAGCAAACAAAGATGATCAAGATCACTCTTTTAAAACAAGATAAACAAATAGTAAATATACACAATAACACATCCAATATATACATGTCATTGTCAAGCAAGTCCAGCAAGTAAGCCAGCAACAAGTTCATATTTCATAAAGAAAAAGGCATAAATTGCCATATAAATCCAGCAAATCCAACAAAAGGTTTATAAAAAATAAAAGCATAAATTACAACTGTCATATATGTCTAGATTCAGCAAAGTTGATAGAAAAAAAAAAAAAAGCATAAGCTGCCGCCAACATATCCAGCAATAAGTTCATTAAGAAAAAGCACATAAAAGAGTCTAGGAAGTGGCAGATGCATACATATCCATCCAATCCAGCAAAGCAAACTCTACAGTAGCAACTTAAGCTAAGCTTGATCAATAATTTCAAGTTGAGGAAATAACTTATTGAAATAAAAACAAATACCCCAAATTAACAAAATTTTAGAAAAATTTCTTTATATAATAATTTATATAAAGAAACATTATTGTTTAAAATTTACCTCAAACTCATCATCCTCATTATCATTCTCCTCCAACTCCTCAAATAGATTGAAAAAATTCCCATTATTGTCAGAACCTGAATTTCAAACATAATAGAAGTTTAGAATATAAATCCAAAAATAAAAACACTAAAGCACAAAAATTAAATTAGAAATTACTATTTATGCACCCCCACTTTGGTATACCCCCTGGACTATACAAACCAATACTTCCCATTGGGTTTTCCTATTTGGGGACAATCCATGATATGCAAGATGCAAATGCATGCAATGCTTAGCTGTAGTGAGGATAGAACACTAAAATTACTAATTAAAAACACTAAAGCACTCAAGCACAAAAATTAAATTATACTAGTTAGAAACACTAAAGCAAAGCACAAAAACGGTAGCTTCAAAAATTGCATCTAATTGATACTTGAAGTTGGAAACTTTGAAAAGAATCCAAGGCAGAGCTGTAGAGGAGGAAGCCACGCGAAAACAGAATGCTGACTTGTAGTGATGGGTTGACGACATGGTGCCACGGTGAGTGGTGGGTTGAGATGACCCAACGGCAACCTTGGAGCTTAGTTGGAGGTGAGCGGCAAGCGTTGCAGGGCAGCAGGGGCTAGGGGTTGTAGTGACGACGAGGTTGAGAGCTGAAGGGAATCACTGTGAAGGTCTATGGAGATGAGGGCAGAGTTTGAGCATGAGTGTGGCAGAGGACTAGAGGAGAGGAAACTCAGAGACTGACTGGAGAGATTGACCGAGAGATGGCCTGGTGAGTCGGTGAGACGTTGAGAGCTGAAGGGAAACGATCCGTGGAGATGAGGGCAGAGCTTGAGCAAGAGTGTGGCAGAGGACTAAAGGAGAGGAGACTTAGAGACTGACTAGAAAGGAGAGACTGACGTCGACCGAGAGAGGAATGAGGAATCCCAATTCCCAAATTCGCAATTTGCAATTGCAAGAAGCGACAAGCAAAAGAGAGACTGAGTGAAATGTCCTCCTGCTAGGGTTATATGTAAATTGGGCCTGGTAAATTGGGGTTGGACAATTAGGTGTTGGATTATTAGATTCACAAAAAAAATTGGGTTGGGCTGAGAATTGGGTTTGAAAAAATTGAAAAAAGAATGGGTTGTGAAATTTAAGTTATGTTGGTATTGGGTTAATTAATTAAATTGGATAAATAAAAATTAATTGCTAATATATGTACAAAATATATATATATAAATAACTTTATATATTTTTTATTTTATATGGATCCCCACGGTTCCCCACGGGGTGGAGAAAATTCCCCACGAAATTTTACGGGTAAAAAATTACCTTCATCCCCGCCCCACGGGTAGGAATATTCTGAGAATTTCCATCCCCGTGGCGGGTATCTCCACGAAGCTCCGCGAGTCGCGAAGAAAATTGCCATCCTTAGCCCATGGGAAGGCCAGCAAAATAATTTTTTAACATTTATTTTTTTTATTCATTCCTTACCACTGGCATTATTTCACTATCACACTATAAATTTTATAAGTTTACATTACATTAAACGATTCAATATATAAAACCATGCCTTGAGGTCCAGTGGTTCACCCCAAGTCTTAAAGTGGTTGGGTTTGTTGGTTGGGGTTTTGAACCCCACCAATACCTTGAAAAAATCCCCCTTCCCCCAAATTGTAGACTGTTAAAAAAAAAATTCAATATAATATATATATATATTGAGAAAAGAGAAAACTAGGATGTTTAGGCATTAGAAGTGTCAAGATGTCTAGTAATAGTCACATGATATGCAGGGCATAATATAAGCCCTCATTTTATTAAATTTATCATATGGTTATTATTGGATGTCTTAACATTTTTAATATCAGGATGTTTTTATTTTATCTTTCCCCATATATATTTTACTTAAATTAAAAGAACTCGTAAGATTTAAAAGCCCGAATTGAACCAATTGGGTGACATGGTAGCCATGTAAAGGAATGGATGTAAAAGGTGAGTGCTGAAAAATAATTTTTGTTCTACTTGTACAAGGACATGTATTTGATTATACACATAATTAATTTGAAAATTTACAACTTAAAGTTTTTGATATTGAGTAGTTATTTAAGTAATAAAAATTTAAAATTGTTACTAAATATAAGTATAGGTCTAAGATCAACCATTTTAGACATATTACGAACATATTTCTAGGATTGTTGGTCACCTTCTTGAACTAGGTCCGAGCTTAAATCACTCAACAACCGAGATACGACCTAAGTTAAGATTTGTCCAATTGTATGATAGCTACAATAAGATTGCACTTATCTAATCTTTGGTTCTGAGATATCTGCTTTGACAGCCATGTTAGATCCGGATTATCTCGTTAAGAAGGCCATGTGAATACCTCATTAAGGCTTATAAATACCCTCAAGGATCACCAGCTAGAGGTAATTGAAATCGACTTATTGCTTCTTCTTTTTTTTCATTCTCTTTTCAAGTAAACCAAATTATTATTGACTTAAGTATCAGAGTGTTTACCTTGGGATTCAACCTCGGCACTTCGTAGGTTAATCCAAAGGGAAGATTTGGATTGGAAGTGACTTGAAGGTTTGTTGCAATCACATTTGGCACTATCTCTAAGAATCCTAAACTAACAGTCGTACATCACCTTTTTAATATGGTTATACTCACTCTGTCTAAATTGGAAGTTAAGCTCAACCCTTGGGCCGAGTTCGAGGTTAAGGGTTTAATAACAATAATTTCCTACAATCTACACCACACCCTAACATTCATATGGAACAACACTCTAAAGGAGG